CCTGTATGGTACCACGTCAGCTCCTGTCTCCAGGGTCCTGTCTTGAGTTCCTGTATGGTATCTTGAGTTCCTGTATGGTACCACGTCAGCTCCTGTCTCCAGGGTCCTGCCTTGAGTTCCTGCCCTGGCTTCCCTTCATGATGTAATCTGTAAGATGAAATAAAGACTTGTCTTCCCGAGTTGCTTTGGGCCATGGTGTTTATCACAGCAGCAGAGCACAAACTAGGACACTCTCTTCCGACGGCATTCTTAGATAACAATCACTCTAAAATTTGGGGAGTTTCACGGAGCCCACAGTAAATGATTGCAGCAGACACAGATTTACAGAAAGTTCATCCCAGCTGTTGCTCCAGTGTGGGGCAGTTGGCACAACTCAGATTATCAGAATACGCTCGATGGGAGGAGGTATTTTCCTTTTCTTTTCTCTTCTCTTGATCCACTCTCTTCTCCCCTTCTCTCTCTCCCCCACCTCTAATCCTATTTTTTCTATCATCCCCCACCATCATCTCCCATTTTCACCACTCTTCCCCTGTACCTCGTGCTCTTCTGTGATAAGCAACATCGGGATCTTTGAAGAGACAGATGACAGACACCTCAGGAGTCAGAGAGAAAGCATCACATCAGGATGGGCTGAGGCAGCCACTGCTCCACCATGAAAGCAGGAATGAGGAGTGTGTGTGTGTGTGTGTGTGTGTGTGTGTGTGTGTCTGTGTCTGTGTGCATGTGTGTGTGCTAATAAAAGGCTGAGAGTATTTGATGGTAACTAGTTTCTAGTGATGCTGGAGAGAGAAGATGACTTTCTCCTTCCTTTCGTCCATCCCTCCTCCCCCTCCCTCCCTCTCTCCCTCCCTTCCTCCTCCCTCCCTCTCTCCCCCTTCCTTCCTTCCTTCCTTCCTTCCTTCCTTCCTTCCTTCCTTCCTTCCTTCCCTCCCCTCTTTCCCTCCATCCCTTCCTTTCTTCTTCTTCTTCTTCTTCTTCTTCTTCTTCTTCTTCTTCTTCTTCTTCTTCTTCTTCTT